CGCCGAGGGCAGGTGCTTCGCGGCGCAGCCCCGGCCTTTTCCTCTTAATTGCTTGAGTTCATTCCCCTCGAGCTAACAAAGAAGTACTTTCTCTCTGGGGGCGCTGCCTTGGTAAGAACTTAAAGGTGACGGTGCCTCCTGCCAGCTGGAGTGACAGGCCCGCCTGCAGCTGCCAAGTTCATCCCTTCGGCGCCCCCTCCCCTGCGCCCCCCTCACTACACCCTCTCCCCCCAACCCAGCTCCTTGTCACTTGAAGCTCTTGTTTATTCCTGGGAATTTACTTCGGGTCCTAACTGCAGAATGTGCTGGAACGCTGAAACTTGTGGCCTAAGGCACGGGAACAACCTTGAAAGCCTGAGCTAGAGAAGGGGGTTTGGGCGGGGGTGAGGGTGGCGGTCTCTTGGATGGCTAATACTGGGCTAGGTTGCCACGAGGGAACTTTATTTTGGTACAAAGGCCCATAAATTCTTTGGAGAAAAGAAGCATGAGTTTCAGCAACCCTCGTTCTAAAATCCTGCTTTTTTTGTTTTTGTGGTCCCAAATACCAACGTTTTAATGAATGTGAATGCAATTAGATAATACTGTATAAAACTATGGTTTTCCCTCCCCTTAGATCAGTGGTTCTCAACCTTCCTAATGCCGCGACCCTTTAATACAGTTCCTCATGTTGTGGTGACCCCCAATTTCATTGTTACAAATTGAACATAATTAAAACATAGTGATTAATCACAAAAACAATATGTAATTATATATGTGTTTTCCGATGGTCTTAGGCGACCCCTGTGAAAGGGTTGTTCGACCCCCAAAGGGGTCGCGACCCACAGGATGAGAACCGCTGACTTAGATCTTCCTCTTCCCTCCCTTCATGGGAACCCTAAAATGAGATAAGTAGAAATCATCTCTCTATTTAGATTTATTTCTACTTTTACTTGTTCTCTTTGGGTATGCGGTTTGTTTGTTTCTTTTGTGTTGTTTTTGTCAGTGATGTCTCTTCCTATTTCTATTAATATCAATAGAGAGGCCTACTTTGTAGGTGACAGATAATGTGCAGCATTTCAGAATGCCCATCTTATCCAAAGTTAAAAGTACTGCCCAACCGAAGCCAATAAAGCTGGAGTTGAAGTAGCCCTAAACTGGCATTAATTAGGGTGAATGGTCTGTCAGATAAGTTTGGAATATGGGTCACATATTTACCAGTCAGCTGCCAAAGTGGGAAGCAGGCACAGCCCCTGTCCTCCAGGACTTTATGGGAAAAGTTAGAGAGCAATATGGAAAGTGTGACACTATGTACTAAATAAGTGAGAGGGCGGGGAGGACAGACCAGGGTCTGTGGAAGGTCAGGAGAGAGTGTATAGACCTGTGACTGCCCCGACAAGTGGACCTGTCCTGGGCGCCTTACAGAATGGCAGGAGGTGCAGAAAGGAAAAGCAGAAGAGAAAGCACCTGTAGGAAATGGAACAAAGAATAGGGAATATTGAGAGGGAGATCTGTCAATCCCAGACTTTATAACCTTTTTCCCTTAATGGTGTCTGTGATCCTTATGTCCTTGTCCACCCATAATTTACTCCCCCCACCGCTGAAAATCTGAAACCTCATTTCCCCTAAAATGTGAGCAGCTGACAGTGATTCAAAGCACCTTTGGGGTTGCATTGCCCTTTGACAAAGGTCGAACTCTTCAGATAAAGACATGCTTTACCTGCAGTAAACAGCCTGCTCTGACTACAGATGGAAAGGTGGACACTAGCACAAGGTCCAGAATGAACAGAACGGAGGGAAACATGAGGGAATAGGTAGGTGGTGGTGGAGGCCTTGAAAACCACATTTTTTAAAAATTTGGGTTCAGTGACATTGGTAACAAGAAATCTGAACTGCACAGGATTTAGAACAGTGGTTCTCAACCTTCTGGCCCTTTAAATACAGTTCCTCATGTTGTGACCCAACCATAAAATTATTTTCGTTGCTACTTCATAACTGTAATGTTGCTACTGTTATGAATCATAATGTAAATATCTGATATACAGGATGGTCTTAGGTGACCCTTGTGAAAGGGTCGTTTGACCGCCAAAGGGGTCTCGACCCACAGATTGAGAACCGCTGATTTAGAAGATCAGACTAGTGTTATTGGAAACTTAGACTGATAGGCTGGTTGGAAAGCTGGGTTTGCTAAGGGCTCAGATCAGAGAATCAGTAAGAGAGAGAGAAAGGAAATGTCAAGGAATTGAACCACTGTGGGGGCAAGGGGAACGGGTTGGTAGCTATAGCTAGAGGTAGGGAGATGTCAGTAGGGAGGAACTCCTGGGAGAACTGGGAGACCCCGAATTTCTCCTACTTCCAAGTGTTGTCAGAAATCAAACTGATTTGTTGCATGTGAGTTTACAAATGTAGCCTAAAGTTCTTACTTCTGAGACTAGAGGTGAGAACTTGGCATATTCTCTAATCTATTGGAGGCAAGAATGATGTCGTGATGGCTCCCCCACCAACGTTTTACAATGACAAAGAGGCCCATTTACTCTGTGCCAGTTTCAGTGCTGTGTTTACATATGTTTCCTCATTTTAAACACCTCGGCAACTCCATGAGGTGATTGTCCAGTTACAGATGAGGAAACCGAGGCTTTACTAGTATACAATTTACTGAGGGTATAAGGCAAGTAAATGTAAGAACCAAGATGTGAGCCTGGGTCTGTTTACTCCAAGCTACTTGTAGACTTTCACTGCTTCCCTTCCTTACTGAAGGTGAAACTTGAATGACTCCAGCTAATTTCTACATTGAAAGGTT